CAAAATACACATGTGTGTTCAGAGCCAGCACAGCAGTGAAGTCTCAACAGTACAACATGAGCAAGCACTGCTGGAAATGCCTGGATTTGTTACACAATTGTTTTAAATTAATTTTTGGTCACTGCATAGTCTTAAGCCTTTTACTATTATCAGAATTGCTGAACCCACACCCAATCACATGATTCCATGTAGAGTTGGGTCTCATAGTTTAGAAAATTCTACTGTGTAGTGTTTATAAATACTAACTCCACCAGTGCATGTTGGTGATAAAAACTACACTTAGATCCCACAGAGGGTTTTTGGGGGGGGGGGCATTAAATGGAAAAGTACCCATATCACTGTTTTATAGTGATTTATAAATGCCTACACTTTCCCCCAGGCCAGTATGGGGGCAATTAAGATATGCATACCACAAATAATATTCAATTACTTTTGGAGTTTACCTTTCACCTGCATGATATTTTATGAGCAATGGATGGATGGATGGATGGATGGATGGATGGATGGATGGATGGATGGATGGATGGACGGACGAACATATGGATGATGAGCTAAGGAGACAGATTGAAAGATGTAGAAATTGTCACAGGCAGCTGATCAGGGTAATAGATTAGCAAAAGAAGATTTGCATTAAAAAACTACCACATTAGGGTAAGCTCATAAACTGAATGCCCTACATGCTCGGACTTCTGGCACTTTGGAGGCTAATGCTTTTTCCCAGAGTTTCCTGTCTTGAGAATAACCATGGCTGCAGAAGTTGTATAACCAAAGGCCATTAGACTTTCCATTATCAATCTGAATGGGTAATTGATTATTGTAAATACACAAGCCCCAAACCCACCCCTAACGGCCTGTTTTTTAATGCATTGTCTTTTAATGTCCCCCTAATCAACAATAAGATTTAGGAAAACTAATGCTTCTCTGCAATACCAAGGACAATGCAGATTTCTCTGCATGTGGCAGAGAAGAACTTAATAATAACAATAAATTTTTACTTGAATGTTACTGTCTTGATTCATATTAGATTCCTGAACTTTTTACCTATTAGAACTTGATAACATTCACAAAAATACAGACCTAGTGATAAAACAGCAGACATATGCCATGTTGTTCTTATGAAAATGGTTTAGATTTTAGGGACTCAGGAAGATTTCTTGGCCAAATGAATTAGAAACGATAATGAACCTTGTGTGGTCTCTGAAACAACATGAACAAAGTAGTTCAGATTGCTTTAACACACCAGCATCTCAGTTTTTAGACAACAGTGCTTACCACTGGTAGAACACAAATTGCCGTGCAACTGACAAGAAAGCAGTTAATCAAAGTACCTTCAAGTGTTGACAACAGCATTAAAATAAACCATTAAAGCCTCACACATCCAATCACTAAAACATGGAAGTAATTCAAAAATTCACCAACCTTAAATGAATGCAAAATGAATAAAATATAACAATACAGAGATAAAACTCTGATACATGCTACTATGAGAATGAGTCTCAAAAACATTAGGCTATAACCTGAAAGAAGATAGTCCTAAAAAGCTGCATATTTCTGCTTAGGAAATATTAAGAGTAGGTAAAGACCCATTGTGGTAGAAAGTAGCTTTGTAGCTGCTTAGCATAGTAGGATTATTGGGCATAACAGGGTGAAATGGTCCATAAGAGGTTCTCTTGGGGGTGATGAAAAATATTTTTAAGTTCTATTAGGTTGTGTGCTTCAAAAGTATAAATGTTATGCTATGGGAATTCTGTGTTGCTAAAGCGGTTGAAAAGAATGTGCTGCAGTGTTGGTGAAGATATGATAATGACATTTTAAATGGCATTTGGGGGAAGGTAAACCAGTGCAGTCATTTGAAACCCAGTATGGATAATCTTCAGAAAACTAAAATTAGAACTGCCATATAACCCACTCATGGGTTACAACCTGAAGTACTCTAAGGCAGCATAAAATGGACACACCCACATGGACCTTCATCCCAGCACTCTTCACAGCAGACCCATCCTAAAGACAGCACAGGAGCCCATGGATGTATGCACAGAAGCAGAAACATGGTGTATATAAATAAGGTTCTATTCTTCGGCCATCAAGCAAGAATGGAACCAATGCAATTATTCCAGAATATGGGTGGAATTGAAGATTATCGTACTAAACAAAATTAGCTACTATCAGGATGAGAAAGACGGTTCAGTCAGTAAAATGCCTACATTAAGGATCTTAGGTTGTAATCCCAGCACCCATATAAAGGGTAAGGTACAGCAATACACATCTAAACCTAAAGCTACAGAAGCAGAGCTAGGAGATGGCTCATTGGCCTGTCAATGAAATTGAATCAGTAAATTGCAGGTTCAGTGAGTGCTTTGGCCTCAAAAAATAAATAAATTTAAAAATACAAACAGCAATACAAAATACCAAATATCAACGTTACATACACGTAAAGACACACACACACACACACACACACACACTGACCAGTCTAAGAAACATAATATTTTCTTTCATATATAAAATTTAAGTAATAGAAGCAAAATGAACAAAAAAGTATCATTAAAATAGGACTGAATCTATAGAAATTGGTAGGATACCAGTAATCAGAAGGAAAGCAAGTGATATGCATAAATCATAGGATGAGAATTTTCAACAAAATAGCTTGTATATGTGCATGTGGATGTAAAGGCCATAGTGAAGCTCACTTATAGTGAGAAGGGTGCCGCCTATTGGTTCCTGGCTGCTTGGCTATCTTAGACCTGAAATAATCACAATAATAAAAGCAACATAGAGACAAAAGTACCTCCCACACCACTCTTTTTTTACAGTTCATATTTGCTAATAAAAAGAGTCATACTTTTTGAATAGTAATTTTATTCTTTGTGGCATCCTCAAGATAGATTGGAAGCTACATTTCCACATGGCTTTGGATACCTGTTTGCTTTCATGTAAACAGGCATTTCGAGTAACAACATATTTTTCAGGAAACAGAATTTTCTGATTCACTGTAGTTATAAAATTTTAAGTGATAACAACAGAGATTCATTAACTATTAGCAATTATTAAAGCAATCCAGGAGGTGGTTGTGTATTTTTAACTGAGTCTCATGTAAACTCTGGGTTGGATCACTCCACTTGTACAAAGAAGGGAGGGAGGTCTTCTTTAATTCCTCGTGGTTCCTGAGCTCCTCCTGCGGCTTAACGCTTCTGGATGACAATACTATGATCTGGAGGAACTTTTCTTTCTGAGAAAGAATTACCTTTTAAGTGTAGCATAATCCTTTCCAGAAAAAATAGAGGTTATGTTTTCATTTCTCAACTTTGGAGATTGCTAATAGAAGAGAGGTTGGTAGAACACATGGCAGAAGAGGCCGATTCCGTCTAACAGTGGACAGTCTATGAAGATGGATTGGGAACACAGAGGGCTAATAACACCAAGCATTTTCTTTGTTGGGTTATCACTTGTACATTAGTCAATTATACAGAAGAACCTACTTTAATGGACACACTTGCTTTAGGAAGTTTCTGTTAAAATAAACTTCCTTTCTCTACTCTGCCCTTGACTTTGAAAATATTATCTGAGACATAGGGAGACATAAAATGATATGATAAGGCCAAATTTGCACCATTGGTATGTAAGCTTATTCTTCTGAATAACCCATGGGACAGCAATGAGAAGGCGGCTGTCTCACTGGGAGAAATGTAGTGGGTCTCATCACCCTTGTATCTAAGCCAGTCTGTGATTTTTATCAAATATTCATGACAAACAGTTTGTACAGAAAAATTTAAATGTCCTTATATGTGTTTGAATTATATATGACAATACACCCTTTGTGTATATATATACATATACATATGAATACATCCACTATTAATATCACTCATAAATTAATTTGGCCTAGTGTATAAAAATGACTTGAATCTTTTATGCTTCTCTGTAACTCTTTGATGACAACAGTCTCCAAACAATTAGTATGTTAATATGCATTATTTTTATCTGTATTTGCATCTGACATCGAGACAACTATCTGCATTGGACTTTGCTGTACTTGCATTTTGCACCCAATACTGTTAGACTGCTTTCTTTACTCTTTTATACATTATGCATTGGTTTTTACTCTAGGTGAGAGGATAAGATGCTACATGTTGATTGTTATGCAACACTACCCTGCCTGGCTTATTAGTCACGTCGTGGTATTTAGTGTAATTCTTCTAGCCAGGAGCTAGAATACCTTCTTTCCAGTCAACTGCTAATACTTTTTTTTATATATTTGTCCAATATACTTGAAAAAAATCAAGTTATTTTTGTATACTTGTGTTTTTCTATTTTGTCTGCAGCTTTCCTAACCCCATTTCTTGTTAAATATATCTTTGTTTTTTTCTGAATGACCTAGCCTGATGGCCACTATTCACAGTATTTCTAGTTACCACATGAGTTTCTCTCAATTACAGGTTTTGCTTCTCTTCTGCTTGCCTGTGCAGCCCCAGCAAAGCGTATAACTATGGAAGGCCCATTGTGTATTCTCTGCAGCCTTTTCCTCTCATACCATTTTACTTCAGTTTGTTCTTGTTTAAAAAGAAGAAAAATCTTTGACATCATTTTCTCTGGAGGTCGACTTGACTGGCTGCCCTCCATCCATGTTTAGTTCTTTATCACCCCTAGTTAGCTTTTATTCCTCCTTTAAATGTCAGACAAGGGTCTTGCATTGTGTTAGCAAGACAAGCAACTGTCAGCAGAATTGATGCATACCTTCAAAACGTCCTGAACAATAAACCCATGGTTTAGCCGGGTGGTGGTGGCACATGCGTTTAATCTCAGCACTCAGGAGGCAGAGGCAGGTGAATCTCTGTGAGTCTGAGGCCACCTGGTCTATAAGGCAGGTACCCAGACAGGCTCCAGAGAAACCCTGTCTCAATATATATAAATACATATATATAGTCATGGCTTAATTTACTGCATATACACATGAACATTGTATTAATATCAGTCAAATAACAGGTATAATTCTCTCACAGAAACATGATGGTCACTTCACTGTCATCCAGTTGGTCGGCATGCTGCGGGGCATCGCATCAGGCATGAAGTATCTTTCTGATATGGGATATGTTCATCGAGACCTAGCAGCCAGGAATATACTGGTGAACAGCAACTTAGTGTGCAAAGTCTCTGATTTCGGTCTCTCCCGAGTATTGGAGGATGATCCAGAAGCAGCTTATACAACAACTGTGAGTTCTATGCCCTGGCCAATCACCGTGCTTATTTTTAGTTCTCTAACACGATTAGAATAATTGTGTTTCCCCGATCTCATGCTTTCACTTTTTATTTTTTCTAAGGAATGTGTTACTTAGTCAAAAGAATTTGTTATTTTTCAAGGCTTGGAATGTTGTTAGCGGCAGGTTGGAGGGGGAGAATAACAAAAGAGATGCCTTGATTGGGGTGCATTTCGGGATTGGGGGACACCTGGTACCAGGGAGATTCCAAGGAGCCCACAAAGATGACACCCAACTTCCCTAATTGCTATTAAGGATGCTCTATCCAGTAACAGAGTTCTGAGAGTCTTGCAGAAGAAAGGAAAGAGGGATTGCATGAGCCATGAGGGGTGGGGTGAGGATGGGGGAACGAAGCTCATGGACCCAGGACCCACAGTTACAGAGCCTGCATGGGACTGACCTACGCCCTCTGCATGTGTGTAACAGTCCTGTAGCTTGGTGTCCTGGTAAGGCATCTAGCAATGAAAGCAATATCTCTCCCTGGAACTTAGCTGGCGTTTCATAACCTGTTCCCCATGCTGGATTGCCTGATGCCAACTTGATGTAGAGGGAGAAGCTAGGTCCTGACTCGATCTGATGTGCCATACTTTGTGCAAGCCCATGGGAGGCCTTTCTCTTTCTAAATGGAGATGAGGAGAAGCCTATGGGGAGAGGGGTAGATGAAAAAGAGAAGGGGACTGGAGGGAAGGAGGGAGGGGAAACTGGTTGGTATGTAGAATAAATGAAAAGAGTGTTATTTTAAAAATAAATAAAAAGAGCTCTGAAAAAATTATATAATGTCACATTCACCATGAACATCTTAAATATTTCTGAATGCTCCAGGGCCAATCCACTGGATTCATCTCCTTGGATACTGTTTTGATGAATTTAATCTTACCATCTTTATTGAAGTATGTTAAAGCTGTTGATTTTTAATTGTGACTGTCATCACTTGTTTATTAAAATTCTCACCAATGCTTCACTTGAGATTTAAATCAGCTTCAGTGAAAAAGCAAGTCTATGAAGCTATTCAAAACATACTTACTCTTTCTCCCTTCTTAACATTGCAAATAATTTTTGAATGGCAACCTATTAATTAATTCTCCTTTACTTCATTTTCTATTCAATATTTTGAAATTTCAAATTTGAGGTAGATGGAAGTTTGATATCTTAATAAAAATTGTGCCCTTATGATTTTTGGAATGTTCTATGATAATTTGTCAGCATTTTCTCAGTTTTAATATAAAATAGAGTTCTATAGAAAATAGATTAATCTCCAAGTCTGATATAGAAGGTGCAGGCATTCATTGATCTTTTAGTTTAAATAAAAACTTTTTAAAATAAAAATTCATAGAACTTGGAAATACATTAATCATTTCTTTTTTTAAAAAAAGTGCATTTTAAACTCCATTTTCTATTTAGAAAATACTGTAGCTATTTTTTGATTTTCTAACTTTTATTTTCTTTCTTCATTTTTGTTATTTATTTACTTTTTGTTTTAAAGTTTCCCCTGCCTCTCCTCCTTTCAATCCCAGTCCTATCTCCCCTCTATTCCCCCAATGCCACCATCCACTTCTCCTCCACTGTTTCTCTTCAAAGACAGACTGGTCTTCCATGGAGATCAGCAGGGTATATCAGGCTGCAGTAAGACTGGGTTCCTCCTCTTTTATTAATGCTGGATAAGGCAATGAAATAGGAGGAATGGTTCCCAAAAGCAGGCATCAGAGTTGGAGACTCTCAGTTAGTAGTCTCACAAGAAGAGCATATCACACAAGTGTAACATAAATGCAGAGAGGTCAGTCCCATGCAGGTTACCTGGTTGTCGTTACAGTCACTGAGACCTTTTATGAGCCCAGGTTAGTTGGTTCTGTAGGTTGTCTTGTGGTACCCTTGACCCCTTTAGCTTCCTACAGTACTTCTCCCTCTTCCATAAGATTCTCTCAAGCACAGCCTAATGTTGGGCTGTGGGTCTCTGTATCTATTCCAATCAGTTACAGTTGCCTCTCTGACAGCAATTGTGCTAGGCATCCATCTCTGAGCATAGCAGAATATTTTTAGGAATAATTTCAAAGTTTTTTTTTCTTTGCCAGTCATGTTTGGTTCTATCTAAGTTCTCTAGGGGATCCCACCTCTGGTTCCTGGCCCTTGGGGTGAGCTCCTCGGGGTATGGGTCTCCAGAAGGACTCATTATCAGTTGGACACTCCTATATTTTCTGTGCTGTGTTTACCTGGCACATCTGGTAGGCAGGATAAATTGTAGGTCAAAGAGTTTGTGGTTCATCTGGTGTCCCATTCTCTCCTCTGGAACTCTTGCCTGGTTACAGGAAAAGGACAGTTCAGTCTTTGTATCCCTGTTAGAAATATTTTCTAATGCGAGCCCTCTGTTGATGCAAAAATCCCAATCAAGCCAAATCACAAAAAGCAAAATTAAAAGATATCCAGGTTTAATAGGACTCCTCCTGCGCTCTCAGGAGGCCCCAGGGAGCAGTTTAAATAGATTGGGGGAATGGTCCTGACCGCCACTGGGGAAGGGTCAAAGTCTGGCAGACACCTTGCCCCTCCTCAGGGGGCGGGGAACGGTCAAAATTGGCAGACACAGGGGCAGGGCCCCCAAAGATGAAGGCCAGAGACTGGGATTTACAATTTTGTATTTCTAGGAGTCTTAGCTAGGGTCACCCTCATAGGCTCCTGGAAGTTCCCATTGCTGTAGGTTTATAGCTCATCCCAGAGATATCCCCAGATTTTGGTTGTCTCTCCCAGTACTCTGTCCATCCTTTCCTTGACATCATGCCTCCTGTTCCCATCCCCATTTCCCCTTCCAGCCTCTCTCCATGTCCACTATCAAAGTCTATTCTATTTCCCCTTCACAATAAGATTCATGATCCCCACACCTTTGAGCCCTATTTATTACTGAGCTTCTCTGGGTCAGTGGGAAGATGGAAGGAAGGGAGGGAGGAGGAGAATAGGGGAAAGAAAAATGAAATATAATAATAAATATTGTTAATTTGATTACTTCCCTTTATAATGGGCATGGAATTCAATACTAAAATAATGAGGCCAATTCTTTTAAAGTCAGTCTTGTGCTTCCCATAAATATGATACATTTAGTATTGTTATGGGAGTCTAAACAGGAAATACGGTGATAACAAAAATTAGTAGCCTAAACAAGGCTTTATGAACTGGCAAAGACAGTATCATGACATAAAAATACATAGACAGACTGTCTTAGGGTTTCTCTTGCCATGAAGAGAGACACCGTGAAAGTGGCAACTCTTACAAAGGAAAAACATTTAATTGAGGGTCCTCAAATTTTCAGAGGTTTAGTCCATTACTATCATGATGTGACATGGTGCTTGAGAGGGAGCTGAGAGTCCTACATCTTGACCTGAAGGCAACAGAAAGTGGTTATCTTCCACACTAGGCATTAAATGAGTATAGGAGACTTCAAAACCCACCCCCACAGTGATACACTTCCTCCAATAAGGCCACACCTACTCCAACAAAGCCGTACCTGCTAATAATGCCACTACCCTTGGGGAATGTTCTTTTTCAAATCACTACACACACTTTTAGATGAAAGACTTTTCCCATAAGGAAAGAAAATGGGAAAGCAAAAACACATTTAAATGTAAATGTGTGTAGAGGCAGGTGGGCAGAAGTATGGACAGTTTAAAATGGAGTCCAGAAGTAATGGGGGGTCACATTCTTCAGCAATAATTTTTAAGGTTTTTTAATGGAACTCCAAGGAATTTGGAGATTTTTCTATAGCAACTAAGAAAAAGCCACTGATTTTCACAAATACAAGAGCAAAAAAGCAGATTCATCTGTAGATGTTGCTAACAACAACAAAGAAAGAAAGGAAGGGTTAAAGGACAAGAGAAATTAGTAGTAGAATTTCCATGTAGGCATTATTGCTACAGACTCAAAAGCGCATATAGGTTTAATTAAAGAAATGGCAGCTAGAATAAAAAGGAAAAGAAAGGATTGAAATCATTATGACCATATAATTTTCAAGATTCAATAATTAATTGAGCATGGATGATATAGAAAAGAAGGAATTAAAAGGGGCATTATTAGAAGTAGATTTAGCAGCTAGTCATTGAGAGGCATTATTAATCATACACAGACCCCTATTAAAGATGCCCTAGATGCCACCATTCCACCACTATAAATTAGATTTTGTTTCCTTATTCTGCCAAAATACATACTATTGCCTGACTATTTGTAAATGTTTTTATAATGTACAATGTAAGAAGGGAAATGGAACAAAAGCAGATCTATAAAATATTTAAAAATAGGAAGGCACCATGGTCAAAAACCTGTGTATAGTTTGACTTAATTTCCAGACAAAAGTTCTTTCTTAACTGTACACTACACCAATTCGAGTTCTTCCTAATCAAATGGAGACCAAATAAATGTTTCTAAAATAAATACATTAAAAAAGTAAAAAGCATACTGCAACAAAAAGCAATGAGAATTCACTAAATACATAGACACGGAGAATCCAGTGCTGACCATGGCACTGAACTAGTCCACAGGCATCCAGAAAGCAGAATGTCTATGCGATCCAGAATGGCCACAGCAGAAAGAGAAGTGAGCAAAGAAGTTACCTTACCATAAATGAACAAATTCCTTAGGGCTCTATTTAAAATCAGTATGCCTACAATATATGACAATAATTCTGTATTATAAAATTCAATACTGTAGGTTAAAGGATGAGTTTTATAATTAAACGTAACTAGACACTCTCATGTTTGTTCCTATGCTTATGAGCTTATTGGTCCTGATTCAGATCTAAGGTGTATTCATTTAATCTGCACTCAACACCATTTATTATGGAACTACCATATTAGGTTCTCTTTAATGAACCAACTGTGGAATGGGTTCAGATTACACCTTTCTCTGTAGAAAATAACAAAGCTTGTAATACTATGCCCAGTCTCCAAAAATAAAAGTACACATATTACTTATACCCT